CAATATATGCAAAACTGGAGTACCAAAAGGAGAGGAGAGAAAGAAAGGAGAAGAAAAAATACTTAAAGAAATAAGGGCTGGGGATTTCCCTGGTGGTCCAGTGGTTAAGACTTCGCCTTCCAAAGCAGGGAGTGTGGGTTTGATCCCTGGTTGGGGAGCTAAGATCGTACATCCCTGGTGGCCAAAAAACTAAAACATAAAACAGAAGCAATATTGTAACAAATTAAATAAAGACTTTAAAAATGGTCCACATCAAAAAAAAAAAATCTTAAAAAAAGAAAGAATGAAAGGAAGGAATGAAGGCTGGAAACTTCCCAAATTTATTGAAAAACATTAGTCTATATATCCACGAAGGTCAACAAACTCCACACAGGATAAGCATGGAGATCCATAGACATCATAGTAAAAATGCTGATGGCCAATGACAAGGAGAAACTCTTGAATGCAGCAAGAGATAAACTACTCATCACTTACAAAAGAACCCCAATAAAATCAGCTTACTTATAACTGGAAATAAGGGAGACCAGAGACAGTGGGATAAGGTGTTAAAAGTGCTCCAAGAAAAAAATCTGTCAACCAAGAATCCTATATCCAGCAAAGCTATCTTTCAAAAAATGAAAGCAAAATAAAGACATTCTCAGATAAACAAAAACTGAGAGAATTTGTTGATAGCAGACCCACATTACAAGAAATACTAACAGAAGATCTTCAGGCTGCAAGCAAGTGGCCGCAGACAGTAACTCAAATCCACATGAACAAACAAAGAGCCCTGGTAGAGGTAATTATGTAATTATAAAACACAATGCAAATCCTATTTCCTCTCCTTTCTTTCTCTTAACTGATTTAGAAAGCAATTGTATAAAACAACATACATATAACATATCGACCATAATATATAGAAATGTAGTATATTTGCCAACGACAACACAAAGGAGATGAGTGAGAACAATGCTGTATTGGAGAAATTACAAATACTAAACCAGTCTTGCACTCCTAGAAAAAATCCCACTTGGTCATCATGTATACCTTCTACAAACTTAATAAGAATAAACGTATATAAGCCAGCAACTAATTTTTAAATAATACTAAGGCTCCATTATCAGTTAAGTGTTCCAGTTTTAACTTCTGAAAAATTTCCTTCAAGATTTATGAGTCAAATATCTTAGAAAAAGGGGCTTCCCTGGTGGAGCAGTGGTTGAGAGTCTGCCTGCTGATGCAGGGGACACGGGTTTGTGCCCCAGTCTGGGAACATCCCACATGCCGCGGAGCGGCTGGGCCCGTGAGCCATGGTCGCTGAGCCTGTGCGTCCGGAGCCTGTGCTCCGCACCGGGAGAGGCCACAACAGTGAGAGGCCCGCGTACAGAAAAATATATATATATTTTTTGGAAAAAGAGGCATAAAATGTTTAACTAGTCCTATTGTATAATTACTACTCTGAAGTGGGCTGTGCCAATTTTCCAGGTTGTTTTAATAAGTAAGGGAGTGTAATTTATAAAAGGCAGAGTAAAATATAATTTCCCTAGTTGAGAGAGGTATGTTTCTGAAAACATTCGGTAGGAACACAATTAGCTGAGGAATTTCAGTTGTTATAGGAAAAAAAAAATGTTTTAGACAGAACCCTAAGAAGTCAGATTTTTCTTTTTCTTTTTTGGATTTGAGACTTTAAAATCCAGACTTGAAAATACCGGGGTTCCTTTCTTTTCTAGTTTATGCTTCCTCCCCCAGCTCTGCCCCACCCTCGCCAAAGGCAAAGCAAGGTTATTACAGAAAAGTCAGAAAATCCAAGTAAGGCAAACAGGAATCACACACACACACACACACACACACACACACACACACACACACTGCCAATACTGGGGCAGAGACTGATCCGGGCTGTGTGGGTCACACCTGGGCACCTGCTGGCCACCCTGCGGTTTGTAACTGACCTTCTCTCCTTAACAATCCGCAAACAGGAAATCTCTGGATGGTTTCAAACTCCACTCCCCCACCCCGCCCCGTCATAAACACCACAGAACGGGAACAACTTGCTGGAAGTTAGAAGCTTGTTCAGAAGCAATCCAACTCAAAGAAAGTTTCTGAAGAAACGGACAAAAATAATCAAAGCCCCCGCCCAACTGAAGCTAGCCCACGGAAGAATAGACTCTCAGAAACCCCTGCCTGGAGCATACGCGTTTCCAACCCAATTGCCATCTTAGTCAAGCGGTTTTTAGATTAACGCTTTTCCGGGACTCTGACCTGGGGACGCCGGGGTTGGTAGCCCAGCCGCAGCGGCCAGGCCCTCTGAGAAGGCCCAGAGCCCCGCCCTCCCTTCTGGCCGGTGGGTCGGCCCGGCCGGCCTGAGCCAGGCTGAGGCGCTGGGGAGCGCGGGCCTGGGCGCTGCCCTGGGAGAGTCCGTGAGTGCACGGGATGGGGTGGGTGAGGAAGTGGGGATCCCACGCACCGAAGGGCACGAAGAACCCGGGGATGCGAGAGGAGAGGTCCGGGCGATGGGGTCGCCGGAGGTTGCGGTGGGGGGAGGTGGTCGGCTCGTGTGTTCCTGGGCGTGGGGTGGGGAACTCAACCGGAGGGACGGGGC